TTAAGTAGAGTAGGGCGAGCGTAACTAATGATTCTGCCTTCGTACTAGGCATATTATAAGAAATAGTTATGTCTAAGCAATAATTATCGTCGTTATTAACTATAGGTAAGTAATGTTGTGTTAGGGCTAAGTCCTAGGTAAGGCCTAGGAACTCCCTTCTCCCTGCCGCCCCTAGTAGGAGGACTTGTCTTTTCCCGATCGATCTAGGTAATCGCTAATAAAGTAGCTACTCTTTTAACAGTAAAAACAGGTTTGCTTAAGACAAGCCTTCTTCCTTGTTTCTACTAGGATGTCCGGATATAGAGAGTCCTTTCTCTTGTTACCTACTGATTCCGTTAGTAGTTTCTGTAAAGAGTCGTCTGACTTCGTAAAGGTAACCGACTTCCTAGGCTTCTTCTTGTCTTCCTCCTTTTAAGAGAATAATCAGGACTTACTCTAGATCTACGCTTCTACGTTAAGAGCCGCGCGTTTTAATTCCGCATACGTCGCTAAGAGGACGCCGTTTAAGGATTTATAAATGCGCTTAAGTATAGGCTCTGTAAGCTTTAGCTAGTAGGCAGATAATACTACTGCGTCTAACGTTACCTACACTACGTTTTGTAATAGCGACTTAAAGTAATTAGTAAATTCTTGTACTAACTAAGACTTAAACATTTTACACCTGTTTAATTTTAAGTCCTCTTCTAACAAGGTGTCGGTAGGACCGTACTCCTAATACAACCACGATTTTAGCTATACCTAGTCCTAAAATTTAGCTGATTCCTCTAGCCGCGCGTAGAGTCGTGCGAGTTGTATACGCGTCTTGATAGTGTACAGAAGGTAATCTCGGCCTATAGCTGCCTAAAGCGCTAGGTCTACTACCCCTTCTCTTATTAGGTAATCTTTAATCTCTAAGATCTATAGCCAGATGTCGTCCTTCTTTAGATTAAACACTAGTAGCGCCTTTGCCCTAAGACGGTCTTAGGAACGGCCCTCTTAGGGTTCTGGCTACTACGACGGCGTAGAGATCGTCAGTAGTCCTGTAATGCTTAAGGACATAGGTCGTATAGCCTAAAGGTAAGCGAATAGGTAGTAGTATAGTTGTCCTAGGAACAGGACATGTTACTGTACTAGGTAGGGCTAGAAAGGCGGCTAGAAAGGCAGGTATAACAGTAAAAGCTAACCGTACAGGTCTAGGCCCCCGGACATTAGTAGTAGGTTCTGTTCTACTACGGCCGCCCCTTGTTACTTTATTTTCGCGATAAGTTCTTATTACTCCTTAATTACCTAGGCTTAATCCTTAATAATGCGTTAGGATTCTGCCGAAATAGATCGGCAGGTCAAGGAGCGGTCTTAGTTTTACTACTCCTAGCTAGTCTGTCCTAGGTTTACCCTAGGACTGCCCTGTAGGCTTAGCTCCCGCTAGCTAGAGCGTATGTTTTTAGGGATCAATAATAGAGGAAAGGACGATCTGTCTGTAATAGCGTCGTCCTTGTTCTACTCGTAGGATAGATTAATGCTATTCGAGTCTTGTGTAATAGCGTCTTTGTAATCCCTACTATTTACTAACATATTGACTAGTCTACTGTCCCCTAATAGCGATCTAACGTCTAGTGTGTCCCTTCTCTACAATCTTTATAGCGCCTCCTCTACACCTTCCTCTACCGTATATTATTTACCCTATTAAGAACGAGGAGCCAAAATGCCTAAGGATAATTACATAAGAAACCTACTTAGGATTCTTAAGCTAATTAGGGAACTTGACCGTACGTCTACTGTACGTCAGATAGTAGGTAGTCGAATCGACTAGGGAACAAAGTAGGGTGATGTCGATCTTATAGCTAGCTACCTGTTCTAAGTGTTAAATTAGTAGAACGTTTAGAATAGCAGGACTTTAAATAAAACAAATTTTGCCGTAACTTGATACTAGGCCGGACTTAAGAGGGGAAGAATAAGACTATAACAGACTCAGGCTGTCTAGGGTAGTATCGGTTTTTAAAGGATTTCTTATTCTTAAGGATCATTAAAGGACGGCTACTGACAGGAGCTGTATACAGGTTCGCTTCGGTAAGCGCTTAGTAATAGGTGCCCTAGGCATCTCCTGGGTGCACCCTATGACAGAAATCAAGTGTAGGGTAACTACGTGCTACGACTAAGGTAATAGTAGGTATCGAGGAGTATAAGAATAGAGGGCAAGGAGGGGAAAGAAGGGGGGGTTTAGAGATCAGTCTATAGTTAAAGTAGCGATATACCTTTGAATATACTACGACTGTCTATCGACTCTTACCTCTTCTACTCTGTAGAAATACACCTAACACTCTATAAGAAAGGAGATAACCTAGACTTAAAGAACTATAGACTACTTACACTAATAAACGTAGACTATAAGATCTATACAGAGGTACTAATAAAACGCCTAATAGGAGCACTAGATAACGTAATTAGGGTTTAATAGTTAGCCTTCTTATTAGGTAGGCTAATAGACGATAACATCTGTACGATCTAGTATACTATAGCGAGATACAAAAAAGAGACTAAAGCCGGGAAAGGGATCTATATCCTCTTCCTTAACTAAGAAAAGGTATATAACAGAGTAAACTATGATTTCCTATAGAATACACTACAAAAAATCAGCGTACTGCCTGACTTTATATAGTAGCTAAAGGAGCTGTATAGAGGGGCTTTTGTCTCCTTCTTTATAAATAGGTTTAAAAGCAAAAGAATTAAAATCTATAGTAGGGTAAGACAGGGAGATCCTATTAGTTACCCCCTCTTTATTATAGTAATTAAAGGACTTGCCTGTACTATTATACAAAACGCAGATATTAGAGGCTTAAAAAGCGGCGACATAGTAGTAAAGACTATAATGTACGCGGACGATACAACTGTCTTACTATACAACTAGAATAAGGTAAATAAGGCGCTAAGGATAATTAAGACCTACTACTAGGTAAGCGGCGTAGCCGTAAACTAGAGCAAATCCTTCCTGCTCTAGGCTAGGCCGACTAACGACATCTAGATCCTAGGGGTCTAGGTAGTGACTACTAAACGGCCGTATAAATACTTAGGGATCCTAGTAGAGACTAACATTAATACCTAGCTAAAAGATTTCTAGGAGAAGATAGAGACAAAGTTTAGAAGAGTAAGGGAATAGTAACTTAAGTTTTACCTGTCCTTAAAAGCTAGGGTCTTAGTAGTAAACGCTTTAATAATGTTAAAAATTAGATATGCGCTACGCTTTCTTAACCTACTAACAGAGACCTGTAAGAGATTAGAAAAGGATTACTATAGCCTAGTGTAAGATAACAAGAGAATAGGATCTATTAAGGACCTCTACACATGTTATAATAAGGACAAGAGAGGACTTAGATACTTTGACATAGACTCTATAGCTATAGTATTAGCGGTAGCTATAGTGTTAAGAGCTATAACAAACCTAAGGCTACTATAGGCCTAGATAGCAAAACACCTAATTATCGACGTAGCTACAGTAACAACTGTACTACAGGAAGCCGTAGACGCGCTATAGCTACAACACCTAAGCTAGAGATATAAGATATACCTAGAGCTGGCCTATATATAGAATAGATAGAAGAAGCTTATAAGCTACAATACAGAACCTGTAGCACAAAACCTAAGTTCTGTCTAGGATGTCTTAAACACCTACTTCTAGTACTACCCGCAGATCTTATACAGACCTAGAGGTAGCCTAAGGGTATAGGGATCAGAAATCTAGAGAATGATGTAGGATTGCGATATTAGGGTGATTAGTGACTTTTAGGATCTAGAACAAAGGGAACTAAAGGTCTCTCGGGGCTTTATAGCGTAGTAGGCGGTAAGGATACGGTCAAGCATACTAAGGATTATTAACTCCCTACCTCCTTATTAGTAGGATTTATTAAAAGTAAGGGTGTAAGAATAGGTAAGACCTAAGAGACTAAGAGAAAACTATGTACTAGGTCTAAAAGTATCTAAACTAAGCTTTACTAGGGCATACAGGTTAATTATTTTAAAGAAACTTATAGGAGTGGATTTTAGCTACAGAACCCTAAAACCCCTAAATAACCTAAAGAGAATAACAGGCACAAAAAGGACCCTAAGAGAGCTATAGGCCGTAGTAAGTAGACAGTTCCGGACCCTAAAAGCAGGAGACCTACTATAGAGGTTCCTCTATAAAAAAGTAAACACTAGTAGCAAGCTAGACTAGATCCTGATAGAGAGACAAAGATGCCCGCTACACGGTGTTAATCTAACCATTAAGTACGTCTAGATAGACTACTTAGTAGTACAGGTAGTCTAGAAGGAACTAAAAGAGATATAGAGGTTCTTTAGTAGAGAAACACCTTACCTGCCGCCCTAAACTAGAAGTATCCTTGTCGCCCTAATAGCCTTTAGCCCGGGGTACAAGAAGGCAGAAGAAGACAAGAGATAGAAGGTACTATACTAGACTACGGTATAGTGTATCTAGAAGGACTACTTGTCCTACTCCTTTGTATTAGAGACCTAACTTTAGTACCTAGAAGCGGCTAGGACTAACTTTAGAGAGAACGTAAAGTAGTAGATTCTAGTAGATAAGGCTGCCTGTTTAGCAGAAAGATATAGAAGTAGGGAATACAACCCCTAAGAGTTTAAGAAAAGATAGGGCTAAGCCCCGAATAAGGTTAGTATAATAAGAGGGCTAACGTGCCTAATCAGGAACAGAAGAACCTCCCTAGCAGAAAGAGATTAGGAAACAGAAACAGAAGATTAAGGAAATAGAAGGTGCTTAGAGGACCTAGTAAGCTAGTAGCGATCCCCCCCCTTTAACAAAGGATCGAGGCCCTACTATGCCCTACCGTTAACTATATTACAAGGCGGAGTAGTAGTAAATTAGGTTCGATTCCCGACAACTGGCTCCTGGTGGCGAACACCTCCCCTTGGCGCCCTAGCGTACACGCTAGGCACGCTGAATAATAAACAACCCTATGCCGGATCTCCAAGTGTCCCTTGGACTCGACTGAGCCTTTGCCATACGGAGTATTATGGCCGGACGATCGCCCTCTCCATCGCTCTCGTGCTTGGCCTCCGCACCCAGCATGAAGCAGAGCAGTCGCCGCCGTCCCCGTCTGCCCCGAGCCGTCTCGTCGTGCTCGCCCGCCCTCTCTGATGATTCCCTGACGGCGACGCTGAAGAGCCTCACCACCGACGAGGCCAAGGACGTCTTTGCTGTCCTTACCCACGCCTCTCCCCGGGCCTCTCCCAGCCCCAGCGGCCTCTCCGTGTCGCCGAGCCCCAGTGGTTATCCTCCTGGTAAGTGCAGTGCAGCGCAGCGCATCGCATTCGCAACGTCACATCGTCTTGACCGTTGACGGGAATGGCGGACGGCTGCTACGCCATGTACCCCGCCACCTACGTCGGCGGAATCCTATCAAGTGTTGGAGGTTGATATCACCCTTGCAGGACGCTGGCTAATCGAATTCTACAACAGGTGCTGCTTCGCCAACACGACAGACATACCTCGACGAGACCCCCGGCAGGAGGAAGAGCAAACCTATCGCCATCCAGCCGCCCCGGCATGCGCGTACCGTGTATACTCCGTTGTCAGCGAGGGGTGATCTCCCAGGGTAAGTTGATCGGCCGCCCGTGTCAGGGTTCGGCGTCCCACATGCGTGCCAGGGGAGGAGTCCGACTAACAACTTCATATAGAGGCTACTTCCCCAACCACGAGACTTTCCCTCGACAATACAAGCCTCACCCCTTCAAACCTGAATCCACACCCTCGTCGCCCGCCATGTCGAGCGCCTCCTCGCCCGTGTCGACGCCCGCAATCTCAACCCCGAGGATCCCGCCGTCTGCCCTCCCGGTCTCCTACAGCCCCGAGCTCATGTCCATCCCCATAGGCAAGTACCATCCATCCAACTACAAGCTCGTCTCGCCGTCGACCTCCACGCCGCCCACCTCGACCTCGCCCACCTCCACGCCGCCAACGAACGTCACTCCGCCAACGAATCTGGAGATCCCATCCGAGGGCAAGAAGAGCAAGCGGCCATCACAAGAGAGACGCCCGAGCGAAGTGAGGAAGAAGGTTCAGCAGTATCAGCGGGACATGATCGCGCAGGCGAGGCGCGCTGGTCTGCCGGACTCGTCGGTCCAGGGGAGTGCAAAATCTACGAAGCCGATCAGTCCGCGTCTGCTACCGTTGGGTAGTCCTGGACCCATCACGCCATTGGAGCTGGAGGAGAGTGCCGGCTACCTGGTTGCCGGTGCTCGGGGAGAGGGACTGGTCGGGAGAGGGTCAGAGAGAGAGAGGGAGATGGTGGGGAGGATGATCCGGAGCGAGCAGGAGCGGGACCTGACGCAGGGGACACAGAGCTCGACTGTGAAGGTCTGATGATGGATCTTGGTTGGGGATGGCTCGTGGCTGGCTGGTCGAGAACACCCTGTCTCCGGTCTGGTCATCACCATCCTCATCGCTCATTGACGATACATCACCGATCTCAGTATTGACGCATACGCATCGACATGCTTACTATCAGCATCGTGCCTACTATCAGCATCGATCGTTCAACGCTCCCCTGCATCAACCGCATGCATATCAGAGGCAGGTCCTCAGCCTCCGCCTCCACATCACATCACGACACATCATTACATCGCATAGCGTAGCATCGGCATCGGCATCACTACCTTACTTCGACGCAAGCGTTTCTTAACCCACACCAAGTGCTGGCGTGGCGTACCATACATACATACATAACATCATACAATTCATAGCATAGCTTCTCTGGCGTACACGGGATGGATCAATCGGGTATACCTCTTGCTTTGTTTGTTTTCATCGTATTTGCTTCTTTTGCGCGGTTGAACAGAACATGAGAGTGGATTTGATTTTTAGCGATGGATGATGGCAAAGGGGGATGCATGCATGCATGGTTTTTATGTGGATATGAGATGATTCGGACAAGACAGATTGGAATTGTTAGCTATGGTATTATACGATGCTCTTGCTTCATCGCCACTGCTTGCTTGTGGCTTGCAGAACTAGCCTTAGCCTTAGCTTTAGGCTTAGATGAGGATGAATGAATAGATATATGATATGACTCCCTCGCCCATTTTGCCTCCCTCTTATTCATAACTGGTCTTGGTCTTGTATGGTATAAGTAATGAACGCAGGTAGAAAATCCTTATCTATAAGATGATGTATATATGACGCGGGACCTTCTTCTGTCTTGACTCTTCCCTTTGGTATTCTTCGTATTTTCATCTTTTTGTGTGTGGTATGTGTACTCCTCTCCCCACCCTTCCCCTTCCCCCCTTCCCCCCTTCCCCCCTTCCCCCCTTCTCTTTCCCCTCAACACCCGAATACATCAATCATCTCATCTATTATCCATGCCACCATCCATCCATCACCATCTAATTTTCCATCTAACGCGCCCGTCCGTCCGAACGTCTCTGTCCCATTTTTCTCTTTTTCTGTTTGTTTGTTTGTTTCTTTGGAGAGTTGGACTTGGGAGTTTGGGGTATTTACGTGGGGGGGGGTGGGAAAAG